AGGAGAAGCGGAGCCAGGCAGACAGAGGAGAGCTTAAGTTTGACCAGGTACCAAAGCAAATCATTGGTACTGTACAAATAATGTAAACATGACGGTGTATCGCAAAAGATTGATATCAAACTGATCACTTGACCCATATTACGTTACTTGCTCTTGGAGTGAATCAACAAATGGCGAAATGAAAAGCTGAACAACAACAATGCTGTTTTTTTTTTTTAGAGAGTCTTAGCTTACATATGTGTTTATTTCATATTTTCAGTTGTTACCCTCCACGGCTAAACAAAGCACTCAACAATAGACATAAGGAGCTTCTTTCAAAGAAAAAACTCAGGTAGATGTTATTTTATATATTATGCTTTGTATGTTGTTCAGTATATTTCTATGCAAAACAAGAGGAATTTCAACACACAGCAGTATATTCACAGTTGAAACCAGATATTTACATATATCTGGTGGTGGTCAGAGGGCCTGGTGGCGCCAGTGTCCGGCAGCCTCGCCTCTGTCAGTGCGCCCCAGGGCAGCTGTGGCTACATTGTAGCTTGCCATTGCCAGTGTGTGAATGTGTGTGTGAATGGGTGGATGACTGAATGTAGTGTGAAGCGCTTTGGGGTCCTTAGGGACTGAGTAAAGCGCTATACAAATGCAGGCCATTTACCATTTACATACAGTTTAGGGAAAAAACATAAAAACATTTTTTTTACTGTTGAACATCAATGTTGAGTAAACTTTTTTGTTTTAGATAAATAAATATTGAAATATCTTTTGAATTAGTTAAATGTCAGAATAAAGAGAGACAGAGCTGTCTATTTTTATCACTTTCATCAAATTTAGGAGTACATATACACTTAGTTTATTGTTAATTAATAAGAAAACTCCAAACGATTCCATTCTGAGCTTAAGAAGCTTCTGATAGGTTAGTAGAGTCCATGTGAGTAAATTGGTGGCACAGCTGTGGATGCATATAAGGCAAAGAGCCTGTTTCTGTGACATGGGAAAATCATGAGATATCAATCAAAACACCAGGAAAAGAATTGTGGAGCTCCATAAGTGTGGCTCAATTTTGAATACAATTTGGGTGCAATTTGCAATTAAGAAATACAGATAGTTTCTCTCTTTACTCTTAAATTGAACAAATATGTTTTTTATATTTATCAATCTAAAAAAATAAACATTTAGTCTGATTTGATGTTTTACAATTAAAAAAGTCTTTTTGTTTTTTTCTGAAGAGTATGTAAATATCTGGTTTCAACTGTTTATTTGATGATGTTGGTGTTTGGCTTGATTTTTAGCACAAAGAGGGAGCGAGAGGAACAGAGAGGGCGAGAGAGGGAGATGGAGGAGAATGAGGACATATATGGTACAAATTATCTATTGAAAAGGAATACTTGAATAATATTGACACTGAAAATGTCATTGATAGGTTTGCAAAACTCAAGCTTCAAAGATACAGTCTCATGTTACCAGGTGCTGTAGCTCAGGTGGCAGAGCAGGTCAGCCACTAATCAGAAGGTCGGTGGTTCGATCCCAGGCTACCTCCTGGCTGCATGCCAAATATCCTCGGGCAAGATACTAACCCCATGTTTGCCTACTGGTGGTGGTCAGAGGGCCCGGTGGCGCCAGTGTCCGGCAGCCTCGCCTCTGTCAGTGTGCCCCAGGGCAGCTGTGGCTACAATGTAGCTTGCCATTGCCATGTGTGTGAAGGAGGTGGAGCTCGTCTGTCAGTGTGCAGGCAGTGGCTTGTGATGAGTGTGTGGGTGAATGACTGAATGTAGTGTGAAGCGCTTTGGGGTCCTTAGGGACTAGAAAAGCGCTATACAAATGCAGGCCATTTACCACAATAAAGGGGTGTTGTCAGTGTAGTGCAGGTCTATGATGACTTTCAGTGCTACTATCATCTAGTTTTGATTCTGGTTAAGTCCTAAGTAGTCCTGATTTTGAACTGTTGTAGTCCTGTTTTATGCATGTATGTATGTATGTTTTATGTATTTGATAGCTTGCTGCAAGACCTCACATCGAGCACATTGACTGCAGGTGTGGTGCCTGTTATCGGTCCCGGAGTTAGCAACATCCCCCAAGAACCCGAAGGATAGAGTCCTGGCCCCTAGCCCTGCCAGTGTAGCAGAAATGATGACGGATGATGATGGCAGCAGCAGCCGTTCTTCTCTGCGTGAGTAGCTTAATGTTGTTCGTGTGTAATTTACGTTGAGTAGGCTAACCACGTTATTAAATTAATGCATGTAAGGTGAACTAGCAAACATCATCTTAGCTACATGCGGCTGTCCTCTTGTTTGATAGTAAGTACTCTCTTCACCCTGGCCAAAAAGGCTAAAATGACCAAAGAAAAAGTGGAAAACAGCTAAACATGAGAGGGTTTTGGACAAAATTTGTTTTTTTCCATTGTTTAAGCACTGCTTCCAGCCAAGAGTGATGCCATATATGCCCCATAGCTGCAGAAAAGGCTAACATTGTTATCTTTTTACAAAAAAACAGCCAAACATGAGAGGTTTTTGGACAAAGTTTGTGTTCTCCATTCTTTAAGCACCGGTTTGAGCACCGTTTAAGCACCGGCACCGTTTCAAAAGTACCGGTTTGGCACTGGTATCGTATAAAACCTAAACGATACCCATCCCTAGTTCTACCCTCCCCCAATCCCACATGCATACTACCTTTTAGGGCTAAGCCATGTGTGTATAAAATGTCTGGCTCCGCCTCTGATTGATTGTTTGTTTGTTATTTGAATTGGCCAGAATCTTCTGCCAGAAAGACAGCAACAATCCAAGAGTGTAACTGTATTTGATAAACACTGTTTACAACACTCTACAAGAAAAAGCTGGAATATTTTGAGACAAATGCCGTTTTTATAAGAGAAAAAGAATGGTCTGTGGGGGAACAATAAAAATCATGGTGGTTTGACTGACATATGACAGCTTCAAATTTACATGACAATAACTTAACTGGACATTTTATCGCACTGAAGTGTGTCAGGTGTGTCAGGGTAGAAGTAGTTAACAGTAGTTTTAATGCTTTATTCTGTCTTTTATTGGGTAGGTTCTATAGTATGGTTTTATGCATGTTTTTATATATTTTGCATACCTTTATTTTGGAGCGTTTTTCTTTTTACTTTCTACCCACACTTTAATCGGTGCAATTCGCCACACCTGCTTACTTACACTGTATTAAAGAAAGGAGAAGACACAGAGCATGTGCAGAAGTGGCACAGGCATGAAGACTGCAGAGCTTCAGCAGAGCAAATGGGTGGAGAAGCCAGACAGATCTCTGGGAAAGCCTTTCTCAGTGAGACACAACCAGTGAAAAGGGTGATTTCTCTGATGGTTGGTGCTAGAGCACCTCTGTCGCACCTGTGCATGTAATATTTGAGTGGGACTTCTCGCTTGGTTTTAGTTTGAGTTTTTTTGAGTTGATACTCCTTGGCTACCGTGACCATTTTAATTTTTTTTCTGCTCTCAAACTGATGAAAAACGACCTCCCTCTTCCCTCTACTTTTCCCTCATTACGCCTATTTTATTTGTTTGTTTTTTGTTGTCGTTTTTTGCTTGTTTTTAGTTTTAAACAAAGCAAAGCATCACTTTTAGAAATGTCGTGTTTCCTAAAGCCGTCTCCACTAATTGAACAGCAGCGCCCTCTGCAGTTGGTAGAAAGAAGTGACAAGAAGTGACAAGACATTTTTATGTCATTTTTCAACACATCTAAGAGATTACGTTCTAATCAATCCAGTACTTTTTGTCCAAACAATTTTATCCAAAAAGCTCAAAAATATTCATTCAAAATACATTAAGGGGATAACCCTGATTTTTTTTTCAATCTTACATTAGACTCATATGACTTTGGGTGCTTTTCTACGGTGGCCCTGAAGTGCAAATCACACCAACAAATTGCTAAACACAACAACAAAATTGAGAGGCCCTGAAGTGCAAATCACACCAACAAATTGCTAAACACAACAACAAAATCGAGAAACAAAAAAACAAATGGAGAATCACAAAAACAAAACTGAGAATCACAAAAACAAAACTGAGAAGCACAAAAACAAAACTGAGAATCACAAAAACAAAACTGAGAATCACAAAAACAAAACTGAGAATCACAAAAACAAAACTGAGAATCACAAAAACAAAACTGAGAAGCACAAAAACAAAATTGAGAAGCACAAAAACAAATCAAGAATCACAAAAACAAATCAAGAAGCACAAAAACAAATCAAGAAGCACAAAAACAAAAGAAGAATCACAAAAACAAATTGAGAAGCACAATTACATTAAGAAAACCGGAAAGGGTAGGTACCAGTCGGCAACAGGAGACATCACTGATTGGACGTCCGCGCTGTTCATCTTTGGAACCGGAAGTTACTCTGCCTGTGGCGCATTTTTTTCAAACATGAACATTAGCGGTGACCCAAACATAGCTGTCGCTATTCGAGAATATTTTGATTCGGGACATACATACGAGGTGATACCGGATATGCTCAAGTGTAATCATGACATTGCAATTAGTATGCGTACACTGAAAACGCATTTAAAAGAATCTGGACTGTACAGACGAGGCAACTATTCTCCACTTCCTGAGGTGAGGCGTGCCATTTTGGCCGAGCTTCGAGGACCAGGACAATTGTTTGGCAAGTTCTCAAACAAAAACACAAGCTGCGTGTCAAGCGTGATGTAGTTATGAGGCTGTTGAGACAACTAAATCCTCAAGGAATCGCTTTGAGAACTCGAAGGAGGTTCACAAGACGCACGTATCACTCCATGGGGCCCAATTACATATGGCATGTAGATGGCTATGATAAACTGAAACCCTTTGGCTTGGCCCTGTCAGGATGTATAGATGGCTTTTCAAGAAGACTGATGTGGCTTGTGTGTGGAGCAACAAACAACAACCCGGCTGTTATAGCTCACAATTATATAAACTGTGTAAAGAGTCTTGGTGTGATACCAATGAGATTACGAACAGACTTCGGGACTGAGAATGGACTATGGCAGCAATACAGTGTACCCTCCGTCACGCGCACACGGACTATTATGCTGGATCGTCAAGCCACAGTTACGGATCATCTACTGGGAATCAGCGCATCGAGTCATGGTGGTCTTATTTCAGAAGAGGAAGGTGGGTACATTTGTGTCTGGTAGGTGTAAGCTACAGTGAAAGCTGATCAGATCGTTTTTTTTTACATGCATTTAAGAAAATAGAGTAGCGTCCTGCTGGACGTGTTGAAAAGTTGGATGAGATAGACGTTAACAGCCGTCACTTTATTGCAGGAACTCAAAATGGTCACTGTCAGCTGTTGTGCCGAAATGAGCATGCTTGCCTAGATTTAACGACGCCAATACAAAATGAAAAACTCAGACCAAACTCTCCACTCCTCACAATCAACACACAGAACAGAGTGAAAAGAATACAGCATTTTTAACAAGAACATTACTGCAGGGTCGCTACAATATTTATGGAAAACTAATATGCATTACTTTGTTTGACATCCATTTGTGGCATGTTTTAAATGGGACCAAAATGTAACAAACCCTATAAAATGACCAAGAACAAAGCTAAATTGATTCTTAAATATTAATTATATACCCAGGTCTCAGTTTTGGATGGACTTGTTTGGAGACCTAAGAGACTCTGGAAACTTAAATGGAAGCCACGAACACCAATGCTTGCTGAGATTCTGCTTCAGAGGGGTTCTACAGAAAGACCTGGATGAATGCAAAGACCTCTGGAACAAACATAGGATCCGGCCAAGCAGACTTGCATCGTGTCCAGGGGGGATTCCAAACTAACTCTATCTCTTGCCTCACAGGTATTTGAGTTCTTAACAAAATGAATTAACCTTTTGCATCAAACTAAATGCAAGGTGTTGTTATTGCTTAAGTTGGTTAATATATATTCATAATTTTACACATAAGTATGATACAGCAATTTATAACATGTCACTGCATGCGTTGATTTATATAGTTCCATATTGTCAGCAAAAAATCCTTCACTGTTCTATTTTCATTTTGCAGATATGGTTCAAGAGACTGTGGATTTGCTGTTGAGGAGAGGGAACTGGATGTGTTTCCCAAGGAGGGGCTACCGGTTGGATTGTGTGGTGATCCAAACATTGAGGAATATTTACAACAGGCTGTACAACAAAACACACTGCAGCAGCCACCAGACTGGGAATCGGCCACAGAACTGTATTTGGCCCTGAAGGACATAGCTGGGTTTTAGATACCAACTGAACTTCAGTTTGTAATGACATTTGTCAGAGTTACTCTGACGAAGACACACACTGTGTTGAAACGTTAGTTTCTTTCCTTTTTTTGCACCTAATAAAACCTTTGGACTTGAGTGCTCCAGCCCTTCTGTTTTTCCTTCATTTTTTTAATGTTAGTAGTGTTTCCTTTCCCTCTTGCTAAATTGAATATAATATTGTTCATAATATACAGCAACTGGCATGAATTTAAATATTAACATTTAACCACAAGGAAACATTTACAATTTTCTTTAATAAAACCATTTACAAATAGTGTCCAGCATTTCTGTCACTTTTCCAACATACACAATATTAAGAAAAAACAACTAAATGTTTAACAATATGGAAGTTGCTTATCACATGAATGTGTTAGGTTCAGCTGCCGTTGGCACACTACTTAACAGGGTAACTCAGTAACTGTAACTTGATGACCTTGCTGATTTAAGAACATCCAAATCCTGGAGCATTTTGAATTCCAAAGTCCATGTTGGCCTTAAAGATGCCATATGAGTCACAGATGGGTAGCTTCAGAGTATTTGCACAGGTGTTTGCAACTGGAAAAGGCGAATCACTTAAAAACTGGATGCATGGTGGTAGTGTCATTCCTGCCGGTGGAACTGCCGTCAGCCCTGTGGCAAACATCATCAAATCTTCCAGACACACTGCTGTTGCCTTCTCTGAAAGAAGAAAGTAAACACTGTAGTACATTACAGAAAATTAATTTCCTTACCTCTCCTTTCATAAAACTATAAACAAATAAAAACGGCCATTCAAACCTTCACAATCAAGGAGATAATCTGCCCAAAAGCCAAGTGTTAGGACCTCCTTATGCCGCTTGTTGCTTCCTGCTGGGCTGAGATCTGGTCTGAACATGCTCTCCAGTTCTGAAGCAGTCAGGGCCTTTGCAGAGAAGCATAGGAGTGGGGCCAGCACACTGGAATGTTTTTGCAGTGCACTTAAAAAATTCAGACTTTCCAGTCCATCTTTAAATCTGCAAAGGATAGACAAATAACTAATAATTGGTTTATAGCTATGACTATTGCAGTCTTCTAAATTGTGTTTAAATGACTTTACCTACTAGATCTTTCATTATAAATTTGGACAGATTTCAAATGCATACACAAAAATAATTAATAGTGCTCATAAATTAACTGTGACAGCAAAAAAAGAAGAGCTCATTGGGATTTCAGCATTTAAAAAAAAAAAAATAGTGCTTTCACACTGGAATAAACAAGTGTGTCGAAAAAGGGATCACCTCTTTTTATAAATAACTGAAAAATTAATCATGTTGCATGACTGATTATTATGGGTCATTGTGAACAATAAATGTATACTAAATTAGAGTTCTAGTGTCAAAAGGTTAATAGCGTGCAACAGTGGCTCAGGAATTGAGTTGTTGTTCATCAGATCACCGGATGCTACCGAATCAGTTTTTTCATATACATCTGAAGGTCTGAAAATGTCAGTGGCTGCTGTGATGAGCAACTGGCCATCCTGAATTTAAAAGGAGTAATGAGTTTACCGTTGTATGACACTTTGGTTTCTTTCAAGGATGTACCATCTGAGGTATTCCTCCACAAATGCTTGTTTCTCACAAGGCTTGACATTTCTGAGGCATCCAGCAGTTTGGAAGATTGTGCTGTTTTGCAAAATAAGATTGTGCAAAGACTCCTCTGATTCAGCTTTCAGGACCTATAAAAAAAAAAAAAAAAAAAAAAAAAAAGGTTTACTGTAAGAAAAACAAAAATAATTTTCACTACTTTTACGATTCATTCAAACATTGGATTAAAGAAATAATCAATTTGTTATTTCACTTGTGTTGTTGGGAGGTGGAAATCTGTCCTTTCAGATTACAGAATCTACCTTGAACCTACTTTCAAGATATGATCCAACACGGATAACTGTTATCCTGATTTAATCTTTTAAACTGGCCCCAAGTGTCTTCTAAGTAAACCCATTCCCTGAGCCTAGGTAATTTTCTACCTGATGTAGAACTTTTGTGATCTCCTCATCTTGGACATCTTCTACAGTGGCGCTGAAACTCTGATTCCCTGTGATGTGGTTGACCAGGTTCTTGGAGAGGAAATGTGGTGCTGGTCCCCCATGCACAATGGATACAGCGATCATCTTTCCTGCTAAAAAGTACTCATCTTGCCTGGCAGCTGTAATACAGGGCACATAATTATCATGGTTAATTGCTATTAAATATGCTAATGAAAAAAATAAGCCAATTTTTATTAAAATTTCCATTGTAATAATTACGGAGAAAACATCCACCTCTTGAATTATATACAAGATAACGGCTCTCTGGAGGTCCATCAAAGATGGGGCGATTTCTCAGACTGCCCATAAGAAGTGTGAGGAATTCACGCCTCGGGCCACCTGTATCCAAACCGTCTTCAAAGCTGCCAGCATCATCATTGAACTTGATGAACATGTCGTAGTTGTCAGAGTATGTGCTGCGTCGAAATCCTCTAACAGCTCCATCCCATACAGCTGACCTTGATATATTGAACCTGCTGACCTTCTTGTGGTCAAGTTCCAGTGCCAAATGTGCAATAATTTCATGTGCCTCCAAATTGGTGTCTCTAAAAAAAAAAAAAAAAAAAAAAAAAAAAAGGGAAACTTATTTTTTAAAGGTGTATATACTTCTCTCATGATTGCATGATGTCTTGTACAGAACAAGATGGCGGTTAATTGGATTCAAATGTTTAAATTACTAACACAGGTTCTTCTGGGGGCTCAGCTTTGGCTTCGTTAGGAGTAGGATCTTCATCATCAATCACAATCGGTTCAAACAGCTGTGTGTAGTTTCTGCAGAGTGAAAACATGTACACAAAGTGTAGATGCAAAAATACAAATGCATAAACATGCAGTTCCACTTTTATAGAACGATTCTACTATTTATTTTTCTGAAGAATCAAATGTAAAAGAGTCAAACTACATACATTTATAATAATTGTGTGTATATATTTTGTGCAAACCTCTGGAATAATTACTCAAGATACAACGCACCTGTAACAGGAGCTCTCGACAGTGAGGCATTCAGTAGTGCCTGTATCGTTTTCTTCTTCCAAATCTATGACCTGGAAATACAGAAAAGAGGATGAATGAAAATTCATATTTGACCAATTGATAATTATTTTAATATAGGGAGCCTAAGTCTCCTCCCCTTCTGGTCTGCTCGTGGGTCCCTGAACAAAAGAAAAATGAATGGAAGTGAATGGAGCTATAAAAGTTATTTTCTGGTCTGCTTTGCCTTACTCTCTGAATCACACATATGTTGTACTTCAATTTAAATAATAAATAATTGTGTTTCGACTATGTCTGTAATGTAATTTGAGATTTGTTAGCTTGTAAAAATTTGTCCTTAAAATGACTACAAGTCAGATGTCGCAAATATGATGTCGCCTCAGAAGCTTTTCTCCCCCAGCGTAGCTGCTAATTATCACATGGCCAGATTTATAGTGGTTTTCTCCACATCATCCTGGAAGAAGGATTCGAAGCTCGCTAAACAAAACTAAGCTTTTCCTCTTCTCTGTGTCTGGTTCGATGATGTCAATTTTGTGAGACGAACATTTACATTTCGCCACGTCTTTTCAAACAAAACATAAAATAAACTTTGCCACCTGTCGCTTAAGCACTTTTTGGCATCAAAATGTGTTTATATACTTCACGGACATCATATTTTAAATTCATTATACACATCAAACGGGATCAGAAAATAATTTTTATTGGCTCATAGACTCCTATTTTTTTTAGCAGTATGGGACCCATGGTCCGGAAGTAGATGGATGTACCTTAGGTTTCCTATCCCAATAGATTATCTAAAGGTACAGTAAGTAAGAATGAAATAAGAAATCCTGTGGTCAAATTTGTGTACTACAGTCTATCTTTATAAACAAACGAGTGACTCTCCCTCCTCCCGTTCCATGAGTTTCATGGCTACGGATCAGCGCCAGAAGATTCTAGATGACAAAGACGAGTCATACACAGTTAGTTTCAATGTAACCTTCCTTCCAACATGATTGAGACATTAGACTGCTTGTGATTATTTCACTTAGTGTACCTTTAAGGGGTGGATGTTATAATCTATTGATAGTATGAAAATTGATGATGTGAAATGCATTGTATAATAACAATGAATGTAATAAGCAAACAGTGAATCGTCATCTCATTGCAAAGTAAAGGCGGTGGAGATTGTCTGCTGCACTGTTTTACTAATAAAATAGTTTTTTACCTGTTGTACTTCATTAGCAAGCACAAGATCCCCAGCACCCTTCCTTAGAGAACAAAGAAAAGCATTATTGTTGTGTACTGTGAAAATATTAATTGACACTTTGAAAATATTTAAGCATCTTGATTAACAAACAAGCAATACAAGTATTATGTAGTCCATGTTCCAAAAACCATATACAGAATGAATGACTGTGTGTTATACTTGTATAACTATGCATGTGACAAATAAAGAACCTTGAACCTTTAACCTTGACAAAAGTGTATATCTCATTAATACAAAAGTTTAGGCAAAAAACAGTAAAAGATTACATGTTCTTAAAATATCACTTACTCATATTCTGCCGCTTTCTGTAAAGGACTGCTTTCATGTTGAAGTTCCCATGGCTGAAACAAACAAACAAACACACGCACGCACGCACACACAAAATGTATTTCACATATAACTATTAACTGTTTTACTGAACTGAGGCAAATGGTGGTGGCTAAACAACAAGAAAACTCTATAAAAAAATTTTTAATTGTACTTACCAGTGTATCAGCAAGATCAAACTCAGAGGGCCTTTTAATAACAATCTCGGGGTCAGAGTCAGACAAGTCTGAGTTTTCTCCAACTACAAAACATGAAAACAAATCAAGCTAAGCAAACTAAATTCATACTAATGTATGAAACTTTATTTGATCATGAATAATAGATTAATACGAAAGGCATAAAGTTAGCATTTAAAAATCATGACTCAGTAGATCCAAAAATGGCTGAATTTCATGTTTCCAGGAAGAAACATAACATATACAAGCTAATTTAGGCAGCAATGGTGGCAGAGGAGTTAAAAGCCCGCCCTGTAATCAAAAGGTTGAAGGTTTGAGCCCTGCTCAGTCTGTCACAGTCGTTGTGTCCTTGGGCAAGACACTTCACCCTCCATGCCAGGTGGTGGTAGTGGGAGGGATAGGTGGCATCTGTGTACAGCAGCCTTGCTTCAGTCAGTGAGTCCCAGGACAGTTGTGTCCACATTGTAGCTAATCACCAGCAGTGTGTGAATGTGTGTGGGTGAATGACTGGTTTTGTTGTGAAGTGTCTTGGGGGGGTTGTAGAACCCTAGAAGTTGCTATATAAAATACAGGCCATTCACCATTTTAATGTAGGTATGCTATTGACTTGCGTGCTTTATGCGTAATGTTATCATTTTACAATTTCAAAATTAGCAGTTGTTGAAACTAAGGGAATGTGTGTCAAAATCAAAACAAACATTAGCAGCTTACCATCTTCAAAGTCACTCTTCAAGCAGATGAAAACAGTGATTCTTTGATAAGGCTTGCCAACTTCAGCCTTATAAGCCTAAAGTGTAAATGGTCTTTGTGTTCCAGGGACAGTAATGACCTCAGTGCCATCCGGATACAGAAGAAGGAAAGGTCCATCTTTTAGATCTTTGTTAAAGTCCTTCATTTTTTTAACAGCTTGATTGAGCAGACTTGTGGCAGTAGCGTCAGGGTCTGTTGTTAGGAAAATAGTTTTTCCACGGTATGGCTTCAAACCACCCTTTTTTATGGTCATCAAGCCGACATTTATCTGTAAGGAAAAACACATGAACAATGGGCCAAGTAGATACTAATATGACTCTAAGCAGATCTATTCAAACTTGAATATTTATTAACTGCTAAAGAGGGATCTTCCTGACAACCTAAATGTACAATTACTCGTAAACAATTGTTCTTATTCTGGATAGCTTTACTACACTGAACATTTTTTACACAACTCCCCTAAGGAATAACAAAAGAATGTCATTAGAAAATTAACCTCAACTTGTTTTCAGACTGAGCTGAACCTTTCTTTTTTCCTTTTTCTTTAAGCCCTTCCTCCCTTCAGAAAACTTTTGCCTCTCTTCATTTTTCTTTTTTCTGTATTCTATGAAGGTGCTGAAGGTTGGAGTCGGGCAGTTTGAGGTAGTCTGTGATGCTAAAGGGAAACAAAGGAAAAATGTACTACAATGTCACACATTAAAGACATTCATTCATGTAACATTCCATTGTCCACACAACACGCAAATAAGGACAACACTGAATAATCTCACTAGAAAATTTCTACCAAGGAATGACAATGCAACTGATACTATTGACCAATACAATTCTACACCAGTAAGTTTTAATGTATAGACACATAATAGGGTTAGTTCCTAAAGTTAACCAAACATAATAAATGAACTAATTTATTATCGTTTCAGTTGTGGAAATGCTCAGAGGACTGTTCCACGAAGCAAGCTAATCCCAAAAGCCAGGATCCAGGCTCGATTGCCCCAAATTCGGTTCCAGGAACGAGGCTAACCTGCAGTCTTTCTGCTCATTCATTATGCAATATGCTTGTGGACAAGTCTGGTCCGTGGCACCCTAGCTGCGAGGTTTGTTAACACTAGAACTGCCCTCAAACCTTCACTACTAGAAAGGTCTTGAGCAGTCATTTTGACAGCTGCGTGCATTTTCAAATGAGCCTCGATTTTCTGAGCTCGCTTAGTGGAACAGCCCTCTGGTCTGCTATGGGCTGGAAACAGCTAACGCTAGGCTAATAAATCAATAAATAACAAACATTTTATTATGCTTATTAACTTACTCAATGGGAGTGAAGTGTCTCCGATGCAAGATGCGTGATAAAGCCTCTCGCCACAGCCGCTGCAAAAGTTCGGCGACTCCTCAACCAGCTTTTTCCCACAGCTAGGACAAAACATTCCGCAGTTCTTCTTCAAACGAAATGCGCCACAGGCAGAGTAACTTCCGGTTCCAAAGACGAACAGATCGGACATCCAATCAGTGATGTCTCCTGTTGCCGACTGGTACCTACCCTTTCCGGTTTTCTTAATGTAATTGTGCTTCTCAATTTGTTTTTGTGATTCTTCTTTTGTTTTTGTGCTTCTTAATTTGTTTTTGTGATTCTTCTTTTGTTTTTGTGCTTCTTGATTTGTTTTTGTGATTCTTCTTTTGTTTTTGTGCTTCTCGATTTGTTTTTGTGATTCTTCTTTTGTTTTTGTGCTTCTTGATTTGTTTTTGTGATTCTTCTTTTGTTTTTGTGCTTCTTAATTTGATTTTGTGATTCTCAGTTTTGATTTTGTGATGCTCAATTTTGTTTTTGTGCTTCTCAATTTTGTTTTTGTGATTCTCAGTTTTGTTTTTTTGATTCTCCATTTGTTTTTTTGTTTCTCGATTTTGTTGTTGTGTTTAGCAATTTGTTGGTGTGATTTGCACTTCAGGGCCTCTCAATTTTGTTGTTGTGTTTAGCAATTTGTTGGTGTGATTTGCACTTCAGGGCCACCGTATTTTTCACTCCTTTTCAGTCTAGCTCTTGTACCTGACCATTCAGTGGCATTTTTTGGTTTGTTATTCAAATTGGCCAAAGTCTTCTGCCAGAAAGAGTGCAACAATCCAAGAGTTTCCTTAACTGTCTGTGATAAAGCCCCACAGGCGTGTTATAAGCACTGTTTACATTAAACTTCTTTCCAGCAGTAATTAAATTCTGTGCAGTCATGACAGAAATCGTGTGGGTGATAATGTGGTTTCCTAGAAAACAGAGACAAACAATTGACTTTAATTGCAATAACATCAACTTTTGCTGAGATAGTAAACCACTTATCTCAAAATGTACACAAGGGGCTCTGTAGATCACAAAATGGCACGCACAGCACACGTTTCATACAAACAGTTAGAGACCTGGACGGTCTCTTTACATGAGGCTGTCACAGAGTATGGAGTATGAAAATGTATCCATGAAGCATTTGCAACATTTGTGTCTTCACCTGACAAAAGAATTAGCAGTTACTGTAAAGATTCATGAACACACTTAATCACAACTTAATCACAAGACACTGCTTTACGACGGCTTCGCTGTGTAACACCTTCATTAGGGAGGGAAGCTGAGTGTGCCCAGCACACGTCTGCTGACGCACGGCTCTTTGGGTCCGCCTGGTTGTTACGCACAGACCTTCCTAGGGACAGGTCAGAGCAGGGAATAAACAATAATCATTATGAACAGTCACTAAACAGTCAAATGAATGTTAAACATGTATTATATCAACATAAATAAAAATATTTTTTTAAATAATTAGATTCAAAATTAAAGTCTGCAGCTGGCACTTGATTTTTTTGCACTGAAAACTTCTAAGAACAAAGGCAACAAAATTAATATATACAAAATACACAATATTATTCCCTTAAAAGTAAATAGTGCCCAGAGAGTGGGCTGCCTTGGCAGAAATTGGTTCTCTAGTTATTTTAAGTTTCTGGTTGGTCTACTGTTAGTGCTGGTCATTTTGGTTTTTGCATTCTAGACTCTAGCTGTTGGTTATTTCTCCTTTTGTACTTTGCTATTATAGGAAAAATTCCTTATAGTTTATTCCATGACTTTCAATTTTTCTGCCCTCCAGTGGCGTCCACGTCTGTTAAATGTGCTTCTGTAGGTGTGTTGTTGTTTCCTGCTTTATTTTGGTACTCTGTACTATCTCGTGCCTTGTATTAAGTTTAATTCCCCCTTGTCTTGATCGTTTGATTCTTGTCACCTGTCCCTTGTTTTCCCCAGCTGTGGTATTACTTCATAATTACCTCATGTGTCTATTTAAAGCTTCAGTTTGCCTTAGCACTTTGTCTTGTTGTACTGTTGTCAGCTCATGTGTTTCCTTTGCCATCTGTGATGAATGAGTTCATTTTTTTATGTACTTCGCTTTTTGTTCACCTTAACTTTGACTTTGAATTTGCATTTTGGGTCCACATTAGCCATATTCTAATGTACCGTCTGTGCATGGTTATAGCTAAGTGTGCCATGTGTAGTTTATAGTAAGTTATTTGGTGTTCTTTTTTGTTGTGTAGCCTGTAAAGGTAGCCCGGTGCATAGGACTGACTCTTGTTGTAATAATATTATTAATAACAACTTGTATTTGTATAGCGCCTTTGTATAGCGCTCTTCTGTAAAGCGCCCAAGGACGCTTCACAGAAGAGCACACTTATAAATGTAAATGTCTTGCTGTGCACTTTAGTTTATAGCATGTTTTCTGTGGTCAGAAAGTGCATTATTGCACTGATAGTATGAATGTTCTCACTCTTTTGATTTTACTTAATTTTTTTGATATAATAGAAAATGTCCCCCTCTTAAATTTTGGTCGGTTGTCCCCTATATGCTGGTAAATATACTCTTTATATGGTGATGTGAGCAACTGCAGGATAAAATGAAAGAATATTTGAATAAATAAATCCAGTAATTTTAAAAAAATGTATTTTGAAAATAATTTTTTTTAATTTATAAAATAGCAGAAAAGATATCCACAAGTAGGCCGGATTGATATTTATACAAATATACTGAGAGCTACTCATTTGTAATTCAAAATATACTCATATTTATTCTTTTTTCTACTTTCAACCACCGATCCGATACCAAGTAATATTCAGGGTGGTATCGACGATACTGATCTGATACCGATACTTTATACAAAACCTTATTTTATTCATTGTATCTCAAATTATAGCATCATAATGATTACAGGACATCAGATTACTTGTTCTTATCACTTAATAATGCAGAGTTCATCATATAGAAATAAAAAAAACTGAAGTTGTGCTATTTGAACACCTTGCCTGCCTGCAGCACTAAAGGACTCCGTGAGAGACATCTGTCTCGCCCTAGCAGCACCTGTCCCTCTCCTCTTCAGTTCACCTCAACATACACTCGTCATATTCTGTGATATGATTTGCTCTGAGGTGTTTGACAAGGTTAGTGATGTTGCCACAACCATACATGCCAACCCTCCCGATTTTTCCAGGAGAATATCAAATTTCAGTGCCCCTCCCGAAAATCTCCCGGAGCCACCATTCTCCCGAATTTCTCCCGATTTTCCACCCAGACAACAAAATTGAAAAACCATATCTCAGAATTCATAGCGTGGCCCAGCCAATTCCAGTTTCCCACAATGGCAGCAGATACTTAGTTTTAATATGACTCTTATTTCTCTTTCTGGGTCGCAAAAAACATTTAACATATTTTCAGGTGAGAATGTAGCTGTGTAAACTTCAAATATCTGAGACGATCGACACATCGTTTTCAAACCCCCGCGGTCTTTCGCTACTCGGGTTAAACATGATATATAAGTGACTTTGATAACTTAAAAATGTTATTGTTTGGCTTTTTCAGTGTTTTATTTGCTCGTGAGTAAATCGGTTTGGCTGAGATTAAAGTTATTAGATTAAATTAAATTTAACTTTATTAATCCCTCGGGAGGGTTCCTCCGGGGTGATATGAGACAGTACATGAGATATCGGCAGCATTTGCAGGTCATGCATGACATTTATATGACCTTTCATTTGGTGTTTAAGCTTTAATGAAAAGCCGACAACACAAAACTAAGTCAAATTCCAACCAAAGAGATTTCACAGCAAACGCCACTAGCATACCCTTAGCTTCAACATGACTCTTGA